CACCAGCAAAGCACTGACTGTTGAATGATGAATGACTTCACTTTTCCAGTTCCAGCATATGTTTGCATGTCTGAGAGCAAGAAATGTGTGAAACTCACACAAACTATTGGAATTCCAGCTCCAGGGACTGACAAGTAAATATGAAGTTGCACAGCATTTCATAGAAAACCCACAGATTATATGTTTGCCGGGTTAAAGTTGATCCTTTGAGGCATGTGCCAAGAAAAATCTCTTGTATTAGCTACACCAAGATTCCTCCATCGTCTGAGACTGCAGCTTGATTGCGGAGTTCATGCCTTGTAAACTGCTGAGTTTCCCTAAAAGCAGCCAGAGGCGTATCATCTTTTGCTAAGCTATCCATAAGGAGCTCTGCTAGCTTGGGTGAATCAAGTATGTGATAACAGATTACACTGAATAAAAATGGAAAACCACAATGACAAAATAATGTTATAATATTAAAATAAATCAAATCATATACTGCCATTATTCTGATACAGAATTTTTACACAGCAAATCTGATACATATACAAGAAGTCAGGCAGCCCATTACAATAAACTTCAGGGTTCCTTTTTTAATATAAAGTACATCTTAATACATAGTTTGAGATGATCAGGTAGTTTTACACCAACTCAAGTAACAACAACTTCTTCTCATCTTAGAATACTAAAATAACAAAATCTTTTAATGCTTTGAATGTTTAAATGCTTTGGTTCCACCTGCCACTTTTAAAAAGTGTAAAAACTACATCTATTGGTTAAACTTTTACCCTAGAGATGTGCCTAACTTACAAATACAGTTATATTAATAAAGATATGAAACGTAATGTAAATACAGGTTTTTGGCAATTGCCATATGCTTCACACTATGCAATTATTCAACTCTCAGTTCAATTCAGGCATTCCGAAGTGTAAAAACGTGGCCAAAATTTTCCACAACTGGCAATAATCTTGGATGTTTTCATTCTGGGGTTAAGCTGGAACCATGAAGACCATGAGACGGTTCAGAAATCGTTAAGCTCCTGCCCTCAGAAAGCAGTCTTGCTTTAGCAGATGTCATTTTGCTCACCCCAGAATGAAAGGATCCGCCACCGTGCGTCCCTCCTGAAAACCTTGGCCACTACAGCACAGTATCTCATCTCCAGTTTTAATGTTGGTGAGGCAGGAAAGTATGGTAAAGGGCTTCCCCTGGCAAGTACCTTGTTTGTCACAATAACAAGAAAAAGAATACATCGAGTGGCTCTTTCTAGCGCAGAATAGCTCCTGCTAAAAAAAGACATCTTCTTTTCTGAAGTCTGGTAAACATTTGAATTTGCTGGGAGAAGTCCGTACGCAGGCCAGGCTGGGGAGACACGGGCAGGTGTGGTGCATCCGCCGCCCAGAGAAGGGAACCTGGGGACAAAGAGCACAGACGTCAGGGACAGGGAGCACAGGCAATGGTGCTTGGGGTGGATGGATTCGGATGAACAGCCGAGATACGGGGAACGCTGCCCGCCTCCCTCCGTGGCAGAAGATCCCCACGAGCTGCAGCACAGGGGCCGGAGAGCAGATGGCAAAGCCAACCACATTGCATTTCCCAGTTAAGCCGCAGTTAAGAGCAAAAAGTAACATTCCGTGTTGCTGTGTAAATCTACATCTGTGACACATGTTCTGCATTTACTTCAATTTCACAAAGGCATCTGTTGTGAAACTACACTGGCCTTTAGCATCGTGTTTTGCGGTGTTTACCGTGCGGGGGTTTCTGCTTGCCCTGATTCCTGCATTGCCATATGGCACAGAGCAGCCTGTCAGCCACACAGCAGGACCCGGGAACCGCAGGATCCCACGGTCATTCAGGCTGGAAGGCATCTCTGGAGGTCAGCTCGCCTGACCTCCCTTTGAGCAGGATCCCCTCGCCACCGGGCAGAGGTTTCTCATTTCGTCCCGCCCTCCTCCAGCCACGCTGTGTTGCAGGGAGCACACATACGGACTGCATTAAACAAACTTAATTGCGCCATGACATGCACATGCACTGACACTCTTTAACAACTTGACTACAAGCTCCGTCTTTTACGGGAGCCGTGCCTCCGCCAGCACATAAGCCGAGCGGGACAGCCCGGTGGGACGGCATGGCCGGGAGAGTGCTGCCA